AATTAATCATTTGTGGAATTTTCCTTGTTAGTCGCGACACTTGCAACAGATATAAGACGATCCTATGAAGCACAACTCAACAAAACAATTGACAAGCCATCGATATGTAAATTTATCAACAATCACATACGAATGAAAAAAAGAAAGAAAAAGACATGCGAACATAGAAAATTGTTATGATCAAATTCAGAATTCTACTGTTTTCTCATTGCTTCAAGTACTAGCTATTTGTAAACAAAAAAGCAAATAAACTTCATCAATTTTCTCTTATTCTTTGTTGCAATTTGTTTACTCAATGAAAAAGAATAACTGGAAAGAATTCTTTGAAAATATAGATTCCGCTCGAAATAATATGAAAAAAGACATGAATCTTTAGTGACTTCAAACATTTGAAATTTTTTATTCGATCTGATAGAAGAAGCCTACTTACATAGGTTTTAAATGATACTTTACTTGAGTCAATATTAATTGACAAGTTGTTCTTTTTGTTTACTCGATATTATTATATTGACCAAAACGTCTACCCAGTATGGGACTACAGAAAGACATGTAACAATATTTTTATCATTTGTGGAAAAATACCCAGAAGTTCACCTATATAAGAGAAGTTGCATACCAATATTACTTTATGTTTTTAATTTTAATATATACAAAATACAAAACTTGGTAAATTAACTTACTCGTTCTGCTAAGCAGAAACTTTCACACACTTTAATTAAATTCAACTTTCGTTTGTTATCGTTATTGAAGGAAACAATTCATTTTTTTTTCTTGGGAAGAATATATTCGATAGATTCTAAGGTTTTGAATAGGAAATCACTTTCAAATAACAGCTTTACATGATCATCAATAGTGATTAACTCTCGAAATTTCATTTTTGAATACAGGTTTTTTTGTATACATCATTTTTATTTCAGTGTTTCAACTATTTTTCAAAAACAAAAACAATCGATATAATGATGTAACAATTGAAGAAGTCGATAAGACAAAAAATCAAGATGATCTTACACAACTTAAAATTAATATTAAACAACATGATACAATTATATATGGGAAATTTAACTTGATTTATTTGAAATAATTTATAAATATTAATTTTTATTTTTAGGCATAATAATAATTCAATGTACTATATTATCAGAAATTCTCAAGAATAAAAAATTACTTAAATATTATTGTGAAAATTGAGTTCGTAAAAATTAATTGTAAATATGATGGTATTAATACAATAGTTAATTTGGATATAGCATTGAAGAAAACAAAATCTAAGAACGATTCATTTATATTTTTCGATGCCGATGTTATTCATCCAACTAATATTACTCGTCAACATCAATCTATTGCAGGTATAAAAATTTTTCTCTTATTTATATTAAAAATAAAGAAAACAAAAAAAAAACAAAAATTTATTTTAGCGATAGTTGGTTCTGGTGATTTATCATGTTCAAGAACAGCTGTACGTATTTATAAACAATATTCAAAAGAATGAAAATGTTCAATTCAAACGATTCTTGGTATAACAGAAATGGTAGAACAACTATTGGAGTATAACTTGCACATAAATCAAGTCTTACTAAGTAAAATAATCTTTTACCGATATAGTAAATCTTAGATTCTTTTTCGATGACTAATTTCTAAGCAATATATTATTTAGGAGTTGACGATGGACAATTCCAAAAGATACATGATTATGAAATGTCGACAATTTGTCAAGCTTTTAATAGTAAGTTATTTATGTTTTCGTTTGTTTTTAATATTAAATTTAAAACTATTTTCTATTAGAAATCTATGATAATGAAACTAAACATTCTCGTCTGACGTTTATTATTGTTAAAAAACTTCATAACACACGGTTTTTCATCTACAATCCAAATCCTAAACAATCAAATAATGAAAATCTTTTCAAAAAGGAAAAAAACCTCCTCAAGAAACCGATAATATGTCAATTAGTGCTGTCATTGATGCAATCATTGTTCATCCTAATCAAAATAATTTTTATTTAAATTCACATAATACTTATTAAGGTGTTAATCGACCAGCACATTATCATGTTCTTTTGGATGAAACTAATGATTTACAATTATTAACATTTCATTTATATTTTACTGATTAATAATCATCAGCTGCTGAAGCTATTCCTTCTGTAGTTTATCAAGCTGATATAACTGCACTAAATGCACGAGATTTATTCTACAATGATGATAAAGATTATTATTCAATTACAATTTCCTATCTATTGTTTCATTTTTAGTTCGTCAACAACGATTGTTGATAGACGCAAAAGATCATTATATAATTCTTCATCTAGTGATTTTATCTATGAGATTCTTCATTTTCATGAAAATCTTAAAAAACCTTCCTGTATTTGATTAATTGAAACCTTTCAAATTATGAATATTGACTTGCTGAAGACTTATCCGTAATTGTTTCTCATTTTTTTTGTATAACTATTTAATTAAGTATTGTTTTAATCAAGAATATTTTATTTTTTGCGTAAATAATTCAAAGTTTATTTTTCCATACTTATATTTTGCTTTTTAAATAATAAAAAAAAAATTAAATTAATAGTTTAAAAACAATTCTACACTTGTTATCTAATGCAAACTATTCTTCATATCAGTTCACTGTATTTATCACTTGTTCAAACTGTATGAAAATCACAGAAAATAATTTCAACTAAATGAATTATACAAAGCGTGGATATCATTATATCAGATTTGATCTTTTTTACTTTACATTTAAGGTTTCCCACACCAAAAATCAATTTTCGATACAGTGCATGGGATTTTCACAAGATTTTCTGAAGATATTTAGCTAATGAAAGTACACCAATAAAATAAAAATTTTACGACTTCAAACTTTTCAAGCTACACGACTCGATCCACTCTCATTTGAGAAAGAGATCGTTTCCTCATATGAAAAAGAATGCATCTATCTATCGAATAAACAAAAAAGCGTAGTTCACTAGAACGAACACTATCGAAAAAAGCATCTGTTCGAAATTTGGCAAATTATACAAAAAACAATTTCCAGAAAAATTTCTGAACATTTTTTTGTATATTTACATGAAGATCTTTCTGACATGAGCATCAAATATGATTATATTGCGTACTAATTAAAAGTTCATCTAAAGTCTTATCAAGAGGTCCTTTAGCTACACGTTATGAATTTTCAAACTAGACACCTTATAGATCATACCTGTATGTTTTTTAGAAAAATTGATTTTTTGGAGAGGAGAAGTAAAAATCATCAGCATGATCTATTATATGCATTTTTATAGTTTTAAACGTATATTCTTATGACTGGTTGAGCATAATAATGTTTCAACTAGGGAGAAAAAGCGAGGTTTAAAATATAAATGAAGCTGTAGGTTTTCTTTTGTTTTTGATTTCAATCTACATGAAGTTCTTTTAGGAGCATGTCATAATTAATATTAAAATTGAAATCTTAATTTTTAACTAGTAAGCACTTATCAATTTTGTTCATTTTTTCTTTAAGATTAAGTAGGTTGCATATGTATTGATATCATCCAGATATAATTCATTTTTTACTTTTTCTTCAAATAAAGACCAAAATTGTGTTGATATACGTTCAATATCTGGACTTGATCGTCGATTTGTTTGTAATGCTTGTTTCAATGCTAAATCAGTTCCTGGTCTCATTAACATTGACAGAGATTTAGCAAAACGATCGAGTCTTATTTGTCCATGTCGATATTGATCAACGATAAGAGATTTTAAACAAATTAATTCAGATTTGATTAATACTAATGAATATCGATTAAATAATTCTAAATCAATACATTCAGATAACGAACGTAAATAAAATGGAATTGTAAAATCTATTAATTCTTGTGATGTAAGAATTGTTAATAATTGAGCACATTTATAAATTAAATCAAAATAAAAATTAAAACCCATTTCACCATTTTCATTAACACATGGAATATTAAGAATAAGAATTCCACCTGATTGAAGTTCTTGTGAACGATATTTAATAAATGAATTAAAATCAAATTTTGATTGATTTTTAAATATTTCACGTTCATTTTCATTAGCAAAATGAAAATAACAATGATTATTTATATTACAAGGTTTTTTCGATAGAATATGAAGTGAAGCAGATGAAAAAGCAATTGAAAGACAATTTCGTGGAAGACATTCTTCATAAAAAGAACAACCATTAGCTAGACCCCGATATGAATTATCTTCAGCAAGTAATTGAAAAAGTCGTGTCCAATCATTCGTTGGAAGATCATTATGAATGATTAATGGAGATCCTCGAAGTTTATTCATTTTTGTAAGATATTCAATAATTATTTTCATTGTTTGAATAGAATTTTGTCCATGAGATGAACCAAAATCAGCAATAATTAAAGATGTTGAATTTGTTATATTCAATGCATCAATACCAGAATATATAAAAGTTCTTCTAGGATCATCTAAGATAATTTGAGCAATTTGTCTTTTTTGTTTTTGTCGCGAACAACAACAAAGTAAAAGTGAAAAAAGACGTCGAATATCTTAAAAATAGATCAATTAGAATATATAATAAATAACAAAATATTTCATACCATTCATAATCAAAACAGTACATGAACGTAAAAACGAATACAGATACA